TGATTGCACAATTTTCTTGGCAATTCCATTTCCCTCTTGCCCCCAAACATGAACAATTTCCTTGGTTTTGTGGAGAACCAACATGGGAATTGGTTTTCAAGCTATCTTTATTTATTTATTTATTTTTAAATTTTTTTTTTTGCAATAGAAACAAATTCTATCAATAATTGTACCAACTTTTTTCTTTAATTGACAATTTTCATAAAAAATAAAGCCAAACGAATACCAAAATATTCAAAATTTTAACATTTTAAGATGAAAAATTATACTAATCAAATACATTTAATTGACAATTTTTAGAAAAACAAGTTCTAGACAATTCAATTCCTAAAATTCGTTTTATTTCCACCCAAAGTTCAATCTTGCAATCTAATGGACCCAAATAGAATATGGAGCATTGGCCCTTGCATGATATCTTTTGTTATTCCCTTGCTTGCTATAGATAGAACATGTTATTTTGCATTGTTCATTTTTTGATAGTTTAGACTCCCTTGTGAATGTTCAATATAATCTTCTTCAACTCCCTTCATTCTCTTTTTTCGTCTCTTTCCCTTTTGTTTTTCCACCCAAGATCTTCGATTGGAAGAGCATCCACAGCTAACCACAAAGAAAGATCCATTCATGGGATTGAATATGTTTTTGTAGCAAGCAATGCACGTATTTACTAAATAGCACCTATCCACATAATCATCTGGTTGATTTCTTATGTATAGAATAACTGCAACCATGTGACAGCATGGGATCCCATTAGTTCCCACTGTAAGTAGCCTCATGTACGTTGTTCCAAGTCAGCCACATACTACATGCGCGCACTTTTCACCTGATACTTTGGTTACCCAGACCAATCAATGTCGCATCCACATGCTAACTCAGCCTTCCTTGCCAATTTTGTTTTGATCTTATTGAAAATCTCATAACCATTATTCAAAACAATGTCGCTCTTCACTATATCTTGAAAGCAAGACTTACTCCACCCCTTTTCATCAACCAACCGTGTGCTTTTTCAAACACGTCTGATTTGTTGCATTCATATCAAATAATCCACAACCATTGTTGCCTTTTAAGCTCACCACAAGTAATCTCTTGGAATTCTATCTTTGAAACCTGTTTTGAAAAAGTTCTAATACACATGCCTTACACAAAATCAATGTTTAGCAATCGAAAATAAATCATCAATCACATTCTAAAGGCCTTCTGACGATTTATCATGAAAGTCCACTATTTGTTGTCATCAATACCAA